CGGTTTTGCTGCCAAGGGACTTTGCCAGGGAGAGACAGTTTCGCCATCCCCACTGCATAACTCGCATCGTTTTCCCCCCAAAAATTAACGCCACCACCTCAGAAGTCTGGGAAGGAGGCTATGCAGAAGTGATCTAACAACCCCAGGGAACAGTGCCTGGTACAGTGTGTAAGAAGAGTATGGGGGTAGAGGGTTGATATTACCCTAAAGGAAAATTCTTTAAATACAACGTATTATATAGTTTGTAGATATGATCTGTCAGCTATGGTCAGCCCTTATGGTTGTTGGCAACTGCAGTCTGTAGTATGGCTTTCTTCTAATATGGAATACCCTGTATGTGCTACATTGTACATGTACTTTTGAACTTACTTTTGTAAGTTTGAACAGAGACAAACTTATGAGGGCCTGCATGGGGGGGGTCTATGCTAAATTTTGAGAGCACGCTGAATTCAGGAACCCTCCCCGTTACATTGATGAATTCCGGGAAGCTATAACGCATTGTGTAGAATCAAAACAGTGAATTACACTCTATGTAAAATGTGCCAATTAAGTACGCTCTATGTTCAATTATTTCGGTCTGTCTACATGTATGCTCTACGTAGAATTAAAACGGCCGATTACGCTCTACTGAAAAGGGTATGCGGAAAAGCAGAAAGGTCCATGTTATAAGTCCAATTTTTCTTGTCATTCTAATAGATAAGATGTTACTTAGACACAGATCAAACATGTAGTAATTTGATCCAAAGAAGTTATATCAGAAAAAAGAGAAGAATCATCTATAGTGACTATTGTAGTACAGTTCTAATATGATCCATTCTGGGATAGAAAGACCCAATTTCTGTAACCTTCCCCTTGCTAAAACACCAAATCTGTAAATTATGGTTATACTTTATTACATTACTTTATTATAGTATCAGATAGCAGGGAGAAAGTTAATGTTACAACAAATACAATAAGAGAATAGTCACTGTCAAGGCCATGGGTAATGTGCGATCAAGAGTAAGACTACATGCCCTGACCTTGATCTCTATTGACTAGAGTACACATCCTGCCTCCTCTCTTGTCTCCATGCTGTAGATGGATGGCATAGTTGCCATACCTCCCCAAAGGTGCAGGTAGATTAGCAAAGAATGTCAGCCATAGTTCAAACAAACTTATAAATCCTGCCTCATTGTTCTGCCTGGCTAATTATACTGATTCTTTATCTGACAGGAAATTATTTCTTTGGCAACACTTGATATAGGATGTTTACCTGTTGTTGTATACTTGGCAGATTTGTTCATGGCTTGTTTTATATAAACAAACTGTTAGACATTCAAAGGGTTTTTTCATATACACATAGTTTGTACCTTGTCCAATGTAAAGAAGTCAGTAAGAAAGAAATATTAAAGGGCTTTTTGCAAAGTATCCTCTCCTTTTGAGATACAATACAACTACATTGTAAAGTGACTTCTAGACTCTTGCAGGTGTGTCCATTATCCATAGACAAGTTAACAGAACTTTTTTTGAGTGATGCAGAATTTTCCCTAAATGAAATGTTTTGTATGTATGCAGACACATTATGAATTGCTAATTTCCTCTTCTGTCTTGGCAAAGTTGTCCAAACCATGTAACAAAAACAAACAAACAAACAAACAAAAACAATTTTGGTTCCAAAAACTACCTCACCAGCAAGAAGGCAAGCATACAAACAAATATACATGTATATAATAAAATGAAAAACTCAAGTCAGCAGTTGTCTAGTTAGCCTAGTCCCCATTTTGCGGCTAGTGTGTCAAAGGTTTATGGCCAGCAGTTCAAGAGGTTACTGACCTTATTTGAACTGAAGGGGAAGGAGAATGGCGATTAGCAAACTAGTCTGTCTGCCTTCAAATAAGCTAAGGTCAATAACCTCTTATTAAATGCGGGGTCGGAAATCATAATGGTCTTATCTTTTCTGACAAGTGTCCATGAAATCAGAAAATTTTATAGTCAAACCTTTCCATATTGGCCATTTAAGGAAGTTGAACTCTAGTTGAAGAAAATGGTCACAGTATTCAGTCAGTTAACAGGTGGTCACTATAGACAGGATTCTTCATAACTGACAATGAGAAAAGTAATAAAAAGACCACTAAAAGAAGCCACAATGACCAGGTCTGAAGTATTCCTTATGCAGAGGTGGTCACGACTACAGGTTTGACTACTGGTATACAACCTTGCATCATAACATCTGCTTGGAGATATTAGATTGCAGCTGCCGTTTCAGAAATAGGTGACACGAGGAAGGAAGAGCTCAGCTCCAGTATTATCCCTCCATCCACCTCAAGCCATAACAGGATCCTAGTGGGTGATCTGAAACATTTTTCAGGATGTTGGCTTTCTCATTTTTGTAACCAAATATTGGCGCACCACCTGTTCTTACTTGTGCGTGTTTGACTAATAGTATGCTAGTTCTAAAGTCCAGGAAGCTGCTGTTACAAGTCTCATTGATTAAACCATTTAAGTTATATATAGCCAGACATGTACATGTACAAGTTGTCACTAGCTACTTGTTTCTGTTATGACCACTACTGTAGTCAGATTACATTCTTCCCTTGGAAAAGATTAGCATCCAGGTACTAGCTTGCACTGTAACTACATATTAGTAACAGTTGTTGGGTCCAAGAGGCCATTTAAGGTCAGAGAACTGTGTCATTGACCTCTGGATAGTTCTAAACAGGAAAGTTGCCTGGCGGCCTCCTTAGGTTGTAGACAGAAATGTTTGGACATTGACAGAGTCCTAAGGTTGTGACTGAGGTTTTGGTAGTTCCTTCCTTGGTGTGATGGCGCCTGGTCTCATTAACCACTGCTAGAATTTCTATGGGCCATTCCAAATAAATAATCTGCTTGTAGTGTAAAAAAAACAATAAGGATGCAACAAGTGCTTTTAAAAAGGCCAAATGTGGTTGGGTAAGGCCACACCAATTTAATTTGTTGTTTCTAAGCTTCGCCCTATCTATATTTCCAAAAATGATGTCTGTGGATCGTTCCGCATCGAAAAAAGTTGGTTTTGTGAAAATCGGTTGACGTTTCGCGTTTCGCGTTTTTTGGCAAGATTGTGGGTTCTGAGTCAACTGCAAAATGCTCATTAAAAGACATATTTTGGCCCCAATGGTTGAAGAAAGTCCTTTTCTTCCTAGTTTTTAAAATTTTTCAATGTAACTTTATTTCATTAAAACTTAAAAAAACTATTGTTTTGATTATAAACCAGCCTGGTATGTTGACTTAAAGGCTCATATCGTACCTTTTTTTTCGCCCTGTCGCTTCCTATTTTTTCTAAAAAAAATACAAGAAACAACAAATTAACTTGGTGTGGCCTAATGGAAGCTGAGGTATATGTAAAGGACAGGGTAGCGTGGTTACTTTGCTTTTGCTGTGGACAAGTTGCCTACAACATGGCCATAGGAAACTGTACAATTTTCTATGCCAAAATCTGGTTGGAGATGACAGAAAACAGGTCTTTTAGTTAGTCTTGCCAACGTTGAAGCCAGACATGTGTCTCCACGTGGCTTGTAAAGAGGATGAATCATCTTTCCTCTTCCTCTCAAAAGTCTGACAGCTATAGAGTAGTCTGCATCTGAGTCCTACTGAGAAAAAAGTAGAAATTGTCCAGATGGCTAAAGCCATCCTGTGCAGTTTTTAGTGCTTGGAAACCCAATTTTTCAAAGCCAATATTCTAGTCATTTATCTACATACTGAGTAGAAACCACACTGCCTCAATGTATTTGGAGCAAAGATTCCAAAAATCCTGATGGAAAATGGTCACTGGAAGGGCCCTGGGCTGATTTTTAGGGTACCTCCCAGAAAATAAAGGACTCCTCTTGGGGGCTTGTTTCTGCAGTTTTAAAAGCTCAAAGTATGAAATACTGACTCAAATGTGCTAATGGGAAGCACTGTGTCAATATCACAAAGATTGCCTTATTCAGAATATTTCCAGTTTTGCTGCCCTGAAGTCGCATTGGTTTGCATGCAAAAGAGGAGTCAGATGTACTTCCTAAATGCTCGACTGTCTTCTCCTACAAAACATGTGGCCAATTTCTATTATTTCTTAGTAATCAGAGTGTAGTAAAGACAAGTGAGACATCTGCCCACACCTAACCATGATAAACCAGTCTGGGACAGTACTTACTGGGACATCCCCCCCAAATGCCCTGCATTATCTGTTGTAGCATCCTCTAATAAAACACATTACAAGATTGAAAATGGTACTATATATACTGTATTTCCTGATTTTTTTTCCCTTTAATGTTCACTGTTTTCACTGTCACTTCTGTACCGTGAACTTATCATTACAGTTAACAAATAATTCCTGGACTTTCTTTTTCCTGCACCTGTCACCACTGTGAATATATAGTTCCATGAACATGACAATTTTTCTCAGACTGAAATTTTGCTACCGTGAACATAAAGTGAATTACAGTATGTACTTCTAGGAACATCTTCAAAACATGACAGAATAAAAGGGTAAGAAAATGAATGGTGCTGGTAGACTGTGTCTGATTCAGGTAATTTGAATTTTTACCTGAGGAAACAAAAGGATATTGAGCCCAGTGCCAGTCCTCTCTATACCTTAACAATGTGCGTGGAGCGGAAACTGTTTACTACTCATGGGTGTCTCCTGGTTACATGCACTTGAGCATGTTTGGGCCGGAAACATTCGCAAAGTATAGCAACAGTCACAGTTCCTGGAGCAAAGAGCAGTTGATACACCTGTAGGGCATAGGGCACTTAATTGTCTCAATGTGGGACGTCTGCCAGACAACTGTTGCTGTTTAGGATAAATAGAAAAGAATTACGTTTTACTCGACTGGATATATTGATTATGTATGGGTTTTGTGCTGTCAAAGAAGATTTTGTAACATTTTATGATGTAGTAAATAGATTGTGGCTCAGTGGATACTATTGGTCAGAAATACATTGTATGCAATCAGTGGATGAATACCTTTGATAACAGATACACCATTCTGCCTTCCCTCTTCCAGGTATGCCATTTGCACAAGCCGTGAACATCTTAAAGAGACAATGCGGAAGTATCAAGGATGTTCAAGTCTTGTACAGTGACACGGTGAGTAGGTGTACCAGTAGGTGTCTCAGGTACCTGTTGTTGTCGTCTCAAGTAGCTAAGTGTTTCATCGAAGAAGTCAAAGCCATTAACGAAGGCTTTCTCAGAAAGTGCCTGCCTTGTAAACCTGGAAATGTTCCCTGTAAAATTCTCTGTAAAATGACAAGCAATGTAAAGTGGTGTGCTCAAATTAGCAGCCTTGCACATGGAACTTTGATTGTATTTGATGACTGCTTTTTAAAAATGAATGTATTAGTAGCCAGCCACATTAGGGAACCGGTGGAAACTATATGGAGGATGGCACCCAGGCTAAAATATATTTATGACCTTTTACATGCAGATTGAAAATATTGTGTTTCTCTGCATTGTTTTGTATATGTATGTCATATTCCATTGGTAGTAAGATATCTAACATTTTAATTTTGTTTGGATTTTGCAAAGTCCCAACATCTTTCCACAGTTTAAGTGACCAGTTTTTCATCATCATAGCAGCCTCAGCCCCCATGGCGTTGAAAACGTACAGCAAAAGATGATGGGGAAATGCACCTGTTACATTCATTCTGTTACAATTGTACATATATTGTGTACTACATAATTTGACATAATTACTTGTGATTATCAAAATTCTTTCCACGTTTCTTTAATATAATTATGAAAGTTCACACTCATATCATTAAAAGGAGATGGCATGGCCTATAAGCTGTATACTTAGTAGTTTACAACATTAATTTGGTTATTTTTATTCTTTCCCTTTATTAGTATTTTGATACTCTACAGTACAACATGTACAGTAAACTAAGACAATGAGTGTCAGTGAAGGTGTTAGCTAGTTTCCTGTACAGTTGATGGATGGTTTGATATTGCATGCGGCCTGACAATACAGACCTCCAGTTTGCATTCATGCATGTAATGACCCTGTATCTCAGCAGACAGGCGCGGATTAAGGGGCCCAGCACAATCTGGCTTGTCTATTGTAGGTAGCCTTGTGGTGTAATCCCGGTTCATCCCTGTAGCCTTGTGGAAGTAGGGCGCCATGCAGGTTATAAGTTGGGCTGCGTTGTTCCCACATGTTGTGGTTGACATGTCCATTCAACTCAATAACTGACACCTGTGTCTACAGTCTTAACCGGTGAGTCCAGAAAAGAAATGAAAAGCTTTAGGACACTTGAATATGAAATCAAAAGTCGGTAAATTGTCTCAAGATTTAGTGGTCTTCAGGGTTAGCCTCTGTAGCACTTATAGAACTGGGGGTTTGGTCAGGTCTTCAGCTGTTTTCAGCCCAGTTCAAGAAACGGGGGTAATTCAACCAGGCCGGCTATGTTGTCTATATGCAATCAGAAAATAGTGCATAAAAGCTCCCAAAGACCCTGAAGACCCCCAAAACCCCCAGTTTTTGGCATGGTATTAAGGCTATTCAGGGTCTCAATGTGCGTAATAGCAAGAAGTTGTCACTTTCTTTTCATGCAAAATCTGCTGATCATTAGATTATAAAGGTTAGAAACGGGTCCAGAGATGTTTTCCGGGAAAGACAGCTTCTTGGAAGAATCCTGAAACATTGTATTAAAA